GGAAGAAGATTCTATATCTAACAATGGTGAGGCTTGTTCCTCACAATCACTTGCAACCTGAATGGGCGAAGAATTAGACATCTTTATTATATGCAGTGTGTTGTTCAAATATACTATCGTTATGCACCAAAATCTCGGTATATTATGCTAATTTATATTTAGGCAATCTTCGTTAAACTGAATGGTTTATCTTATAGCTGGTTTGAAATTTTTTCGTTATATCGATATACAGATTTTAATTATAAATCTTCGTTAAACCGGGAGTTAAGCATATATGAATGAATCAGTTCCATGAAAAAGCTTCGTTGTAAGGCTATCTTCGTTAAAACGGACCTTCGTTAAAGCGAACTTCACTGTGTATTGTGCTAGTCCATCGGACAATCTTGTATTACGCATGCAGATCAGAATCCATACCATAAAGAGAATAACAATGATGAAAGCTTTATTGGTATTATCATACTTGGAAATCACTATTGTATTGCGGATAACTAAGCCATTTTTGTAACTTGACTGTCATCACTATTGTATCCGTTTGTCAGAAGTAAATATATTCTAGCTAGTCACAAATACCAGTGTATTTGTTTCTATAACTAACATCATCCAACGTTTCCTTTAATGGGCGTTGTCAGTCTGACTAGACTCTATGTCGAGCAAGGAATCCATTCAAAGTTTTCTAAGGAGGATTGAATCCCGTTGTCAATTGCCTACGAGCCCTAAAACTAACGACATCCATTATTTTTTCGATACACATAACAAAAAAAGTTTTACATAATTTAGAATACATAATAATCTATACAATTAAACGTTACCTATCATCTGTTTATTTGATGGCTTTTTTACTGGATGGCAGAAGTGATATTAAGTATACGTTTAGAAAAGATGTCAATTTACGAAACCAGTTTTTTTACTAACAATGATATCATTGTGTTCACAAATATGGAGCTTATTCAATGCAAATCTGTGTTTGCATAAATTAGTGGACCGCATCTTTTGATTATATTGCTGATTATGAGCAGTCCGCTTGTTATTGTAAGAATTTAGTTGATCTACCACACTCACTTATTCTAACTCGGGGCATCCAGCCGGAGTTTTATGGCTTATGAACTAGCTAACCACAAACGTATCATCACACGACATATCTCACGTCTATTTGGTCATGTTCAATGTGTTTTCCTAATGGGAGAGAGGATTGACCTCTTTATCAATACGTATCAATACAGACAAAGTGTGCCAAACTGTAGAATACAATACCAGATAGATTCTTTCATCTTAAGGGTTCATATACACATTGGTGGTCGTTATAACAGATTTCACGGTCCACTCTTATTTAATTAAAATCTACGTACTGAGCGAATTCCTATCACGGCCAGTCGAGATATTTCTATAGTGTTGGATATTATTATGGTTGGTGTCAACATTGTAATCGTATTTTCAGTTATTTAAGGGGAGAAGTTTTGACGAAGGTTAAAGACTGATTGTAATATTTCCTTGAAGAATATGTGCCGTATGGCTTGACTTATAGCTCTTTCTCTAATGGTATATACAAAGACTAATTAATTGCTACTATTTATATCAGCGCTCCCTTACACAGGGAATGAATGTGTACTTTACGACAAGGCATGTGTGACCGAATACTTTTCTGTCGGAAGATTAGAAGTCAAATACGTAATGTGCTATTTCTATGGAACGTTCATTTTCGGATTATCAATGCTAGTACCCAACAGAATAAGAGTATATTGCAATAAATACATGCAACAACATCGATATATTATAGTTTTATAAAGTTGAGACTAACCGTAAAAAAAATAATAAAGGGAAGGCCTTATTATGTGTATTTGGGGAGGACAAGTTTGACAAATTGTTGACTACGGAGACGGCTTCCGGCTAGCATAGATCATTCTGGTTAATATGTTTTTATCTGAAACAGTTGTTGGCCTTAATTATTAAGATCTATTCAATATCACATTAATGTACATTGACAGACAAAAATGTTGTCTTCATATTTCCATTGATTGGATATCCTTGTAATGTAGTGAATGAATCAGTAGTAGGGGAAGCGATTAAGTGAATAAATCGATAGGATGGGAAGGTGGGAGGCCTCAAACTATATATGGTGATGAAGTGAATAGATCAGTAGTCATTTGATTATTATGATATCGATGAACATTAGAACATGTATAATATTCGGGAACGTTACTCCGGTTTGACTGATTGTACGACTATCACTCTTATAATAGTTAGTGTCACTCACAAACAAGGTCGTGTAAATCGGATATATAAAGAGGGTATGTCGACCTCACTTTGCAACCTCCTTGCCCATGTTGAGTAGTACATATGGTACGTATTTACTGCTCACAGTAACGTCTTCAAATACAACCAGTTTACAGTACACTAGCCTTAGAGCTTAAGTTGGAAATTATTTCTGCTTGAGGGATTCTACACCACTTGCTAGATGCTCGCGCAAATGGTACCGCATAGTAAGCATACCTTTTCATAAGGCTAAGTGGCTAATCTATACGAATGGGCGAGCCAAACATTATCATCAACAAAACCAACTACGACAGTAACTGCTGCTTCGAACGAGATTCTTGTTACTACAACTGAAACGATAACCACAACAATTGTTTCTGTTATTCCTGCAACAACGTCAACAGTAATGACTACCAATGCTGATGGTCAGGTTACTATAACTGAGGTGTATGTTCCGCCGAGGACTACAACTGAGGTCAAAGTTGTTCACTAATCTTGATGTAACCAACTGCCTATTTACTGAAAAAGCCCATTGGTTCAAAAACTGATACTCGGATTTGGCAAATCTGACAATTGGAAGAGCACTTAATTACATTTATAATCCAAGGAGAAACAAAGGTTTGTGTTTAGAGTTATAAGTGAGGAATAAATTATGAGATGTGGTAGAAGTGCAAATGAGAGAACGGCCAAGAAGCACCTCGCTACTGATGGCAAATCGAAGGAACAGGAAAGATGGTGACGAGAACAAAGAGGAAATGGACGAAATGCGTGGCGTTCGGTTGAATGACGAGCATAATAAGTAGGATATAAGCGCCCGGATATTTTGGTGGTGCTGGTGGCGGTTGTGCTTAACCCAATTACATGTATAAACAGGAACGAAGAGGACAATACGGAGTATGAAGAGGAAATGGACGAATGCGCGTTTGCTTGAATCAATATACTGATGGACAACATAATAGCTTGCAAGTAAATGCTCACAACAACTGAGGTGTACGTACCACCGAGAATTAAACTGAGGTCAAAGTTTTCACAGGTGTGCGAACATTCGCAATGCAGAGGCAATGAGATTGAGAAGACAACAGGCATTATTATAATAGATTGGAATTCTAACAAATAAGTTTGATAACAAACAATTTGATTTCTCATCAAAGACCCGACTTTGATCAACTCCTGCGTTTGCTACATGGTCTTCAATCTTAGGCTGTGACAAACAAGCGTGTCAGGTTAATTATGCCAACGTGTCTGGAAAGGGTAAAGAAAAAGCCATTATCGGTTTAGTCAAAGTAGCTTGTCTCTACATTGACAGCTATTAACTATACTCTTAGGTTACCTCATCTTCGCAAGTGACTCCTGTGACGGGCCCAAACCGTTTCCGGTCCGGACATAATAAGATGTCTTGACCGGTTGTATAACAGTTCTTATTATTAGCTCATTGTCATCTACGATCCATTTCCAGCTTGTACGACCGTAATATGACTTATTCACCGTATTACCCATAAGGAATTTAATCATCTCCCAATATTATACGGTTCAATAATTGTCGGAATACGGAACAATTACATAATCCTATAACGATGACTTCTGGTTCTACAGAACGGTGTTTTCTGTCTCTATAGAAGGAATATATTTAATGTGTGGCTAATAGGTTGGCCCGGGAAGAGCGGGCAGTTTCCCTAATTTGATGTTGAAAGAAAAGCACTAACGTTGCATTTATTACAGAATTTGGCACAACAATACTATTGATAGTCTAAATAAGTATAATGTGTATTCGCCCAAAAATGTTTGATCGAGTTCAAAGCTTTGTCTCTCCATAAGAAGTAATATAATGCATTATAATAATAGCCGGAGTTGAAAGGATAGCACTAACGTTGCACTTGTTATATTGTATTTGGCTTTGTCTCTCCATAAGAAGTAATATAGTCGGAGTAAAAAGATAATATTAACGTGCGTGGATTTGGCACAACAATCTATTAATAAGTATGCTGTTATTATTAGTTCAAAGCTTTGTCTCTCCTTAAGAAGGAATATAATAATAACAGGAATTGAACGGAAGCAAAATTAAACCACAAGATAGTATTTCTAAAATTATTTAAAGTAGATACATTAATTAGTCAATAATTAATTGTACTTACATGTTTTTAACACACCATTATTAAAATTCAATTCTGAGAAAGTTGATTATAAATTGGATGAATTTGTTTAGGTTTGGCAAGCTTTAATAGTTTAAAGTATAGATGCAGTACTGTATCTAGTCTATTGTATAATATCGTTGTGTTTGCATAATTATTATCACTTAATAACTATGAAAAGTTACACGAGTTTTTATTATCAGCCACAACATATTTTCCTTTATAAGGTACATTCAATGCGAAACTTCTATAGAACCGATATCGCCGATCAATTATTTTTGTTAAATAGTCCCGGTTCTAAATTATTTTCCCTCTCATCCCAACGGAAATTGCTAAAGGAAACGAGGTAATTTGTAATTAATTATCTTTCAATATTTTCTCAAAACTCTCTATTCAACTTTTTATTTTTCAATCTCAATTCAGCTGGTGATAAAAATGCCTTCTATTGATAGCGTAATAATAACCCTTTTGATTACTACCTTATTTGCTGGAATTTACGCGACACCAATTGAAAGTTCAAAATATAGCCGTTGGTACAATGAATCAGATATTTCGTAAGTAGTATAACAAAGGTTGATAAATATGACTGGTCACTTACATAATTTTATACTAGTTTTTTTTTTCTCTCTCCATTTTTTTGTAACATTACCGTATTTGTCGGCATCCGCTAATGCCCACGGGAATTGCAGCATAACTTTGGTTATTTTTTATCACTTTTCGATATAATTACGCTTACGTGATTATTTTGTTTTATATCACAGCCCCGCTCCACAAAGAACACCTGACAAGGACAGTTCAGATACTTCAAATGATCTGTCTACAGCTTTCTCAGGTCTATTACAAGCGACCAAAAACCTAAATCCGTTTATGAAAATTGTAATTGCTATAGTCGGACTTTTTATTGTCATGACTCTGTACTGTTTGACTTGTTCAGTTTACAGTTTATGTGCCAGGCCGGATAGCGCTAATTCGATCTCTCACAGCAATTGTATTATTTGTAGCCGCGTTACTGTAGAGTCGAGGGGTCACGATAACGCAAGGGTGGTAGTTGATCAAAAGACAGACAATTGACAGCAAAATTATATATATAGCAAAAGTGGAATGTCTTTGAGATAAAGTTTATGATTAATATAATACAAAATTTTAATTAGGAACTTTCTTGCTCTGTTTTTAATCAAATTTTTGTGATAAATAAATTGTTGATACAGTAATAATTGCTTTATAATAACAACTAATTAGTTAATTAATACGATAAGCTAAAGCTTTTGACCGCTATAACCTTTGATTTATCAAATTCTGTTCAACACACAGAAGTTGATAATTTTGATATGTTAGACGCTATCTGTCATCTTAACTGACGCCTACAGAACTAACATCGCCATGAAATTTATTCTTGTTAAGAAAATAAATTTAGTAAGCGTACTAATAATTCGGGTTTTGCCCACAATCTGGCTAACAAGTCAGTCGACAATAAAATCGCAAGCCGGTATTTAGAGAGTATTGCTATTTTAGTAACTGAGCTCATGCATTAAATCGCTTGTTTGTATAATGTTGCCATTAGAACAAAGGTTATATAATATTTAAAGTGCAACTTTCTTAAGGATTATGAAATTCTTTACCCGAGAATAAAAGAATTTTTGTATCAAGTAAAGTTACTTTAGGAAGTAGTCTATATGATTTATTTACAAATTGTTTTGTCTCTTTCAGAAGTAAACAATTTAGCTTTGAAATATCTAAAACGTTTTTTTACCTATTATTTGCTTATTCATGATGCAAAATTAAGTTACGTAATTTTTGATATAAATAAGCCATGTGACGTCCAGATTATAGTTCCTGGGCTGGGTATGTGTAGTTTACCAAACGCTTTAACCGCTCGGATCGATGTACCGCACTAAGTCAATCGACTATTCACCGGAGTTTATGTGTATGTGCCGTAACAATAGATTAATTCAAAAAGCGCTGTGCCTTGAGAACAATCTAATCACTGTTATATAGGCCGTTGCTTTTTTTAAGGCAAACTTGATGTGTTGTGTTAATTGTGTCTAGTCCTTGTCTGCTAGAAAAAAGTCCCATCTTAAACGCTTATCTTGTAGTATTAAACAGTGTGTATAGTAAGTATTATTCTAAAGAGAAATAAGGCATCGGATACCGGCTTAACTAATCTATAATAGCATGTTCGAATCGTAGAGCATTAGCGTTATCTATAAAAAACTATCAATACCTGTATTTACATATTTCGATTCAAAAGTTTGTCAAGAATCCTACATACTTGAAACCATGATGTCCGAATGAGCCCAATAATTTTTATTAGTTGATTATTATCCTTTCCGTATACCGTTTGGATTGTTGCGTCCACCAATAGTGGGCTTGATTTTGGGTGAGGTTAGGATAATCTTGTCACAGAAGACGCGAAATGTAATTGCTTAGAAAATCTGTTACACTTTTTCAATGCGTGTGTGTGTAGTGTACAAATTGAGATCCCCTCCATATAGAATCATGATTTAATGCTTACACATGCAAACTAACTACTTATTATTATATTGATCATTATATGGGGCAGACTGCAACACAATAAAACCAGACAAAGTGAACATTTTATTATGTGACAGAAATGAGAGGCTGGTGTGGCTGAAGGTTAACTAATTTGACTAATGATATTCTGATTGCTCACTGCTGTAACTTATTCACAAATATATGTAAATTACAGTTTTAAATTATATTATGCTAATATGTAACTGGTATTCAACTTTATTGGGCAAGCTTTTACCTAAAATTATGACTTCCTTAATATTAAATATAGGATTATGTCTGTTGTACCTCAGTTGGGGACCTGTCTCAGTTCAGAACCCAGTTACTCGCTCCAAAACTCAGTTGTCTCGGTCCAGAACCCAGACACATCCAGTTGTCTCAGTCCAGAACTGAGACAGGTCCCCAACTGAGGTACAACATGCTATGTATAATATATCACATAACCCCTTGTTTTCTTAATGTTCGGAAGTGCAAAAAATCCGTAATATTTGATTAATAATTTTTGCTTGTCTCTCATAAAAGAGTCTACTGAAAGTCATAGGTTCATACCATGTTGCACTACTACACTATCTGTTTCACAATGCAAGCTGAAACGTCCTCCTACGCGCTTTTCTTGTAAATAGACTATAGTTACTCTCGTAAGTCAAATGCAAATGCTATTGTAATTGCTGTTTTGAATTACACTAATCCAGTGATCTATAATTTTAAGTATATGTACCATGTCTTGCATTATCGCATGTCATTCGTTCTCATCGTCCGAAAAGAACATTTATTACTCAATTATTATCTAGAGAGGGGCGGAATGTTCCTGCATCAAGCAAGGGGAGTATTCATAATAAGGAGTACTCTGTGAACAACAAGTGTATACGGTTTTCCTAACTTAAAGCTTTTTCAGTATAACATTCTTCTCAAGCCTCTAAAAAATGTCCCCCCTTTGACAGCTTTATAACCAATTTTATTGGAACCCGTTTAAAATTTCAGGTTTTTATGGAGAATTATCTATTTAGTAAGTTAAATACACATACAGTGTGTTACAAAATTACGTGCGTATTCGAAATCACTTTGACAGAGTTTACGAGATTAATTACAATACTGTCTGGAATGCTCTGCCATTATTCCTTCATAAATTACTCCAAATTCTCAATATTTTGGGGGATTCTCTTCTCCACATTTTTTTTTCACAATTGCACACAAGTTTTCAATGGAATTTAAGTCTTGGACTGTTGGATGGCCATCATTTTCCGGCTAGTATGCTTGGATCATTGTCTTGCTG